TCATGGGAGCCATCCAGGAATCTAGCAAATGCATCAACTAAAGTCAAAGTTTTTCATCAACGACATCCATCAAAATCAAGATGAAAATCTCTCTTATAAAAGAGACAAGATTGAGGCAAGATAACATTCAATTTCCTATCCTTGTTTGTAACTTCTTTGCATTTGTGACGCTAATTAGATGGAGAGCCATCAACTAGCGGATTCAACTCAAGAACCTTCGTTTGCTGACTTACCGGATGAGACATTGCGATTGTCACAACCTTCAAGACGACGCAACCGAGATGAAGACCCTCAAGAACGACATGTTTTTCCTCGAATAGATGGTGAGATACAATGCGTTTGGTATCACGATTTGGGAAGGGACTTCCGATGTTTGGTGATTTTACTAGAGGTAGGAACAACTCCTGATGGTATTCCAAATATTCTATTCGAAGGAAGTTACGAAGGCCTCAAAAATGATCAAATAACTGGGTGGTCTTCCCGCCCTAGTATGGGACACTACTGATGGTTGAGAGGCCGTATCAATCATCTTCGAAGAGAACAGAGATCAGAGTATGTGGCGAATACAATTCGTCGAATCATAGATTTTCTCAACATATGATGACCGCTCCTCGTGGAACTCGTCCCTAGAAGGGGAGGTAATGTCACGGCCATAAGCATGTAAGCTAATAATTACATATAGAAATAGGTAGAAGTAAGTAAAAGTAGGTAAAAGTAAGTTAATTCTATAATATTTAATATAGAAGCTTCCTAAAAACTTCCTAGACGCTGCTTTGACTTCATAGGTGTCTTTAATTGACTTTTTGGATTAGAAACGTGGTCAACAAGTTGGCCATGTGCCACACATGTTGTTAGCTTGAAGATCAAGCTAACTATGTGGCCCACACGAAGAAAAACTTGCCTTGTAAGTCTAGGCATGTGCCCTACAAAGTCAACACCTATTGGAGGTCCTATAGAACGTCGCCACGTAGCTCTTAGTTAGATAGTATATATAGAGACAAGAGTGAAGGCTTCTTCACTCTTGTCAACTCCTTTCTTGCTTCTAGTCTAGTTTCAAGGGTCTCTAGTTTTCTTGTCTTTTGGCAATAGCCATTCCAGTTTCTCTTTCAATATATATATTTGTTTATTTACCTCTCTTTGAGTGAAGGCTCACTTGTCTGAATTATTTTTCATCGAGTTCTTGTCCTTGACACAAAGTCAACACATGTTGGAGGTCTTATAGGACATTGCCACATGGCTCTTAGTTAGATAATATATATGGAGGCAAGAGTGAAGCCTTCTTCACTCTTGTCAACGCCTTTCTAGTCTTAGTCTTGTTTCAAGACTTTCTAGTCTTCTTGTTTTTGGCAATAGCCATTCTAGTTAATATTACATTATCTTTTGAGTGAATTAGTTCTCTTCAATAATAGAAGAGTGTATTGAGGATTCCCTTTCTTTGAGATTCATGTCCTTGACACAAGTATTAAAAGGACAATAAAAATGTAAGATTTTGTTGTTCTACAGTAAAGTTGACAAATTCTAATAGAATCTAAGGAGGTTTCAATGGAATGACAAAATGCTACTAATGGATTATTCTATACTACTAAGAAGATAGCTTCTACAATAGTAGCACAAGATTCCAACAATCGTAGAGCCTAAATGGATGGAGATATTGCCACCTTTGTACAAACTATACTAATATAATGTATAGGATAGCCAACAAATTAGAAAGGAGGCTACACTTCTTTGGCTTATTTGGCATTAGATAGTAGTTGTCAACATATGGAAAAGACATTTGAATACCAATATTGACCATAGTTGTACTATGTGCCTTGGAAGTATTGCCAAATTTGTGATTCATAAATTTTGAAAATGTCCAATGGCCAAACGAGCATGGACATGGAGATACAATATTTTAGACAGATTGATGGAGTAGGATATAAAGTTGCCACTTGTATATAGAATAAAGAATGGTAGGTGCATGGATGCAATAGTTTGGATTTGACCAAGGCTAAGGTGGGATCAAAGGGGTAGTCACACTAATACTACCTTTCCACCTCATAGCAATAAGGTTATAGGAGATAGTATTAGTCACTTGTTCAATCTGTAATGGAAGCAAGGGATCTTTTTCCATTGAATTCCATGACAATACAGAAGTATGAATCATGTATGGTTGTTAATTTGGGGGATCATCATATGATTGATCTAGATCAAGAGGAATAATGCCATCTTCAATGGCAAGTATTAGCACCAAGAACAAGCTGTTAATACAATGTGGTTGAGTTTAGTCAACTATGGGAGAATAGGCTGGGCGTTGACATAAGCAATGACAAAAAATACCTAGCCATATCCATGCAACACTAGAAGCCTTCCATCTACAATGGTGTGTAAATGGGGTGGTGGCATCATGGGTCACAGGTCCCCCCACCGGAGATTAGTAAGCCTAGGGTTGATGAACTAAGTTAGTGTAATTAGTGGTGTGTTGTGGGGCTGGACCTGGTCATCACGTTTTGTACTTTTATCTTCTCTGCAGTAAAGTTTTATTTTACTTGTGTCAAAAAAAAAAAAAAAAAAAAAGAAGAAGAGGAAAGTAAGCAAGTGTGTAAGTCAGATGTATGTATGAATGAATGAGTGAGTGGAGTTCAGTTAGTTGTCCTTGAGAGAGAGGGACAGTCACTGTTGAGGCCTAAATGCATGAGGAATGAATGAGGGTCCAATGACTGTCTAATGGGCTCTTTGATGGATGCCTGTTGACTTTGCCAATGGCTGCAACAAAATGCTCTTGTAGGTCCACTCTATTCCATCTCTGTACCCTAAAAAAAGCCTCTATTCACATCCTCCCCTAACCCCTTTTTCTCTGTGAGTGTGTGTGTGTTTTTCTGTTTATGTTTAAGAAAAAAAAAAGAAAAAAAAGAGGAGAATATCAGAGACTTTACATTCCCACTCTGCCTGCAGTGCCTCATGAGGGTGGGAGAAAGCATGAAGTGAAATATCAGGTACTTGTGGAGCTAAGCTCAATGAAGCTGACAAATAGAAAGAAAATAAGAAAAATAAGAAAAAAGGAGAGGGGGGGGGTGGTGGTAATACAGATTACTATTCCTATATTAGGAGACCTAGACTGTCAGGTTAGGTCTTGATTTGTGCCATGCTTAGAGCCTTCCCATGAGATTGTCTGTTGGATTTGTAGCATCCAGAGCTCCAGTTGACAAGCCCCTGTCATCAACTCCCACTCTGCCTTCACCAGAAGGCAAGCTTTTTAAAATACTGTGATCAAACTACTGTGGTCACATCTGAAAACCCAATAAAACTCAAAGAGCCTTGAGACCATGACCCACAAAAGCTCTCATTGGGCTGCTGTAATGAAACTGGGGGGGGGAGGAGGAGGGAGGGGGGGGGTCTGTGTCAGAGAATGATGCCCTGAACCTGCACCCACACACACACACCAATATACACATACAAGTAGTGGGTGGAGGTGGGCCCAAGCAAAATCATGAACCAAAAGGAGGTACTACCACAGAAACAGTGGATGGCCTTTGGGCTGGGAAATGGAAGGACTTGGGTGTGTGTCTCCTCCCCACCATGCTCATGACAGTGCATTGGCAGAGTAACTAACTTTGGGCCCATCAAAAAGAATAATATCAAGAAAAATCAATCAGGAGAAAGCTAAAAGAAGAGATGACATAATAGGAGAGAAAGAGAGAGACAGAGCAAACAAGAGCATGTGCAAACTCCTCTACTAATGCTATTTCCCCAACAAGGCCATGGAGCCAGGTAAGACCAAAGCCTTAGAAAGAGGGAGAGAGGGAGGATTTTTGAGAGGGTGGTCTCCAGAGGGGGACACAAGGGGGGGGGGAGTGAAAATGGGGGGATGATGGTACCCATGTGGTTTTCTCCAAGCTCACCATGGTCCTCCTTGGATTCAGTGCAGACTAGGTCAACCCCAACAACACCCACCAAGCAGTTAGTTGGTGACATACATGCCCTCCCAGCTTTTCTTCTGGGTCTCTCATCCTTGTGTTACTAACTAATGCTGGAGACTGTCACACTCTGGAGCTAGCTCTCTCTTGCTCTCCCTCTTGTCATCTGTCTGTCTTCAGCCCATCAACCCACCCGCACCAGCTCAAGATTGTTGCACTGTGTTGGAGTAAAACTGTATGTGTACCTGTAGATGTGACTTTGTCTACCAATCTTGTCCAGCATAAAGTCGTTGCTAAGTGTGTATGAAGTATGTACCTGGCTCTATGGCACTACAAAGATCATGTGGTGTGCCTTCTTCATACAGAGCTTGCCCTGTAATCCACACAGCAGAGGGCAGAGGAGGGTAATTAAGTAGACATTGGATGATTAGCAATAAGTCAACCCACTCCAGCCCTAATCAAGGCTCCAGGGGACTGATTTGGCAGAAAATCTCCTGGAGTAAGTTGGGCAATCTTTGACGTTGCCAGTGCACCCTATATTACCTCCCTAGTAAACACACAATCATTGGAGTGCTTAGTTGAAACCCACTGAAATTGATTGTTGGCTTGCACCATAGCTAAGGATGGCCAACATATTGAAAAAAAACCACCACCACAACCATGTAGTTTTACAATTATGAATGCATCTCCGAAGAAATTTGTTTTGGTTGGTTTGTGGCCTGGTTGCTTGTAAACTGTACAAAAATGGAGTGATTTTTTAAAATTTTAAAATTTTAAATATATTTTTAATTATTTTGCTTTGCTAGATTGGCGGTGCAGTTAACTTCACTAGCAGGACGTCAACAACTGACGGATCAATCTGGATTGCAGACACGACTTCGAGGATGAATGCCGGAGAAAAGGCCGGAGAAAAGTTCTGGAATGAAGAGGAGCTAGTTTGGACCTGCATCATGGGCAACGTCAGTCTAGTGGGGGGGGCTGGATTAATCACTGCAGCGTGGCGACAGAAGCAGAGCAAAACTCCAGCTTCCCCTAGCTAGTCCCTACATAAATTCATGACGAGTAGGAAAACTAGAGGGAGATTTAAGAGGAGTACCGGCTGAACCCAGAGATCATGTCAAGGGAAAGCACATTTGCAACGGCAAGGCAACCGCAATAATGCCTGAGAATAAAGGGAGTGATGGGAGAGGGGGAGTGACTGGACGCATGGACTTGCGACGTAGCCCGGCTGACTTCCATCGTAATGCTGGTGCTTCTTCTGCTGCTACTACTGCCCAACGGAGAGCTTGACGCTTGCCTCTCGATTGCTTGCTCTTCAGAATGCAGTCAAACCCAGAATCAGCCCTGGCTCTGGCATTCTCAGTTTCCACGTCTTCCCCTGGGATCAGTCCCTCAGTTTTTGCCTTCTAGTACATGTCACATTCATTTGCAGCTCTGTGCAGCAGCCGCAGTAGCAGAAGCAGCCGGCGTAGAAAGAAAGACAACAGAGAACTTGGTATGAGTGAGTTACGCAGGCAGCAGCTGGCCTTCCTTACTACTACAACTACTACTACTACATTTAGTTTTGGACTTAGCTTGTCGAAGTCTGCGCGCAGCACTCGTGCCCTTTGCCCTCAATATCGACGACGGTGCTAGCTGCGAGGAGTAAGTGCGTGTGTGTGTGTTCTCTGAGTGTGTATGCCCCTACTCCTTCTCAGCTGCTGCCAGCCTTTTCGTAATCGAATGATTACCGGATCGCCCTGGTAGGGTCAGACCCTGAGCCTGGGTTCGAAAGGGGGATGCCTGCTGGTTTCTGCTTCCCTCGGAAGTTCTTTTCTGTGCTTTTATCCGTTTGGTGTCCCTGTGGTGTTTTTTTCTTTTTTTTTTTCTTCTCTTCTCTTCCGTGGATTTTTCTCGGTTCAGTGGAGAGATCAATAGAGCGGGGTAACTGTGGCTGCAGTAGCGAAGGGATAGCGAGTTATCGATGGAGGAAGAGTATGGGGTGGGTTGTAGAGAAGCGAGTCAGCCGCAATATGAGTGCAATAAACAGTTCAGGCAGGCAGTGCCTAAATTAGCGTCAAAAGCTGGTTGTGATTTTTCTGTATCGTTCTGCAGCTCTTTCCCATCAACCGTGACGTCGCAGCTGCATTGCGAGCTGGGCGGAGCATTAATTGCGCTCTACCCTTGAACGAGTACCATCCGCTTGGAACACGCTTCTTTTTGGGCTCCCATTAGGACACTTCTCCTGAGGGAGACGTATTTGGAGAAGACCTGATTCATTGTTAGCAAGAGCGGAATAAATGTTTAAGATGGGAACGATGAGTAAGAAGAATGCGTTCAGTTTGTGGCTGTCTTGTGTTACAATTTTTCTGGTTTTGGAACAAGCGTCCGTGGAAAGCGCAGACGCCACACAGAGAGTGCAGAGGCTGCCAGGACAACCTCCAGTGCGCTTTGAGCAGTATGCAGGATACGTGATCGTGAACGAAGAGAAAGGCAGGGCCATCTTCTACTGGTTCATCGAAGCAGACCACAAGAAAGCCGCGACAATGCCCGTCTCGTTTTGGTTCAACGGAGGTGCTAACTTTCTCCTTTGCCTTAGAGACTTCTAAAATCTTAATGCTTCAATGGCCTCCACCAAAAAAAACAAAAAAAAAAAAAAAAAAAAAAAAAAACTGTTGGAGAAACGGCCCATTTCTCAACATTGTGCAACAAGATTTCTGCGTTTAATTGCCCCAAGTTCGCGCAGCTGTGTTTGTCACTTTGTCGCGACATTACAAAGTAGTCAAACTTCACAAACATCGCCTTAAGAATTTCTGCAGACAGTAATATTTGAAGTCGGGGCGTTCAAGGCGCAATGTAACTAGCTGTATAACTTTAGATGCTGTTTCGAAGTTGCTGTAATCGTAGCTCATGAAAACCGCTGTCATGCACGGTTGTAGTTTTTTTTGCGGGTCCAGTCTGCACAAGGTAAAAAGAATTAAAGTAGATATAGTCTGGCACAAAGTTCACGCCCTATGATTTCGCTGATCTTAATAGCAACGAGCGGTGTTGGGTATTGTTGTCGTTGCAGGGCCAGGATGCTCATCTATAGGAGCTGGTGCAATGTCTGAGTTAGGCCCCTTTTATAACAAGAACGAACCTGGCGAGTCAGGACTGGTGCGTAACAAACATGCGTGGAACAAAGGTACACGCTGTGGAACACAATTTGGAGCCCCGACGCTGATTTTCGCAATATTTTTCAACTGGAACTAAGCAGCTTCGATAGCAATCCTCTGATTTTCAATTGAGATTTCAAAACACAGAGCTGGTTCAGATAAAACCTTGGCCTCTTGGATGCTCCTGGTAAAGGTTTTATTGAAATGACTCAATTGCTTCCCTTGTTGTCACTCGCGCCACTTTCGGCAGACTTAGTTGAACCTTTCTCATTGAATTCATGTTTTGCAGCTTCGAACATCGTTTTCGTTGACTCGCCAGCTGGAGTTGGTTACTCGTATTCCAACACCTCAGCTGATTACAACTACTTAGACGACGAACTTACAGGTAAAGCATTTAGTATCCGCCACGGCCAAGTCGAGTCTAACATTTCCGTGTCCTTCTAGTACCGTCAAATATCGGGACGGTTCATCCAATGTCGTTCGATTCTGATCATCTGATGAAGTAAATGGGTTTTATCTGCAGCTGTGGATGCCTTGGCTTTTCTTGTGGGATGGTTTGCGAAATTTCCTGAGTACCAGAACAATGAAGTGTATCTCCTCGGTGAGAGCTACGCAGGTAATGGTTGTTCAACCTCCCAAAGCCCGATAGCTATCACTGGGTCTTCAACCTTACTTGCCTCATATAATTTAGTCATTTTTTCTTTGGGAAGATTGTAGTTACCAACAGCTGTGGGATGTTGGGCTTTCAGGTCATTATGCTCCCAATTTAGCGAGTAAGATTCTAATCCACAATGAAAACCTCGGGAAACTCGACATCAATCTCAAGGGCTTTTTGGTACGTAGACTTGCCTCTGTTACTCCATCCCACGATCTCTCAAGGACTATATACTTTGTTATTTCTGAGAGAGCTTGATGAAATACTCTCGCAGATATCTCGAGCTGAAGCAAGTTTTTTTTTTTTTTTTTTTTTTTTTTTTTTCATATCTCATTTAGGGCTTGAGTCCAATGATGTGGGAATCCTGGCCAGATAGGAAATCCTTGGACTGATTCCTACTATGACAACAAGGGCGCCGTGGATTTCTGGTACCATCATTCTTTGATCTCGGACGAGACCTATAACGAGATTCAGAGGAGCTGTGATTACAGACTGGAACCTGCAGTAGGATTTTCCAGTAGCGCCGCCTGCCGAAACGCTGCTAATCATGCCTCCAATCTCGAAATGGCAGAAATTGATGCTTATAATATCTATGCCGGTAACTGCAACTCTGCCAGCGTCAACGACTCGGCCTTGGTCAAAAGGGTAACCCTCAATATTAATCCTTTCATACGATCACAACCGTGTCTGGAATTGCGCTCACAATCCATCCAAAATCACCGGGCTTTTGAGTTGCCATGCTCCTTGTAATAAGATTCAATTTGTGATGGCAGACGAGGCCAAGTTTCTTCCTCGGTTTGAAGGACTCCAACTTCTGCGGACCTGACACAACTACACCTTATCTCAACTTGCCAGAGGTGAAAGCTGCACTTCATGCCCGCCCTGGGATCAAATGGACTGAATGCAGGTAGGCTTACATTCTCCGATGTAATCGCCCCTTTCAATGGATGACAATCTCTACAATTTTGTGGCAGAATGTGAGACAAGGTGGGCAGATTGGTGTTTGTGGACTAATTCATTGTGATCGCATCCTATACAGCCTGCAAATTAACAGTCAATACAGTGTGGCGAGCGTGGTGGAGTCCATGCTGCCCGTTTATCGATATCTTCTCACGAAGGGCCTAAAAATTTGGATTTACAGGTACTACATACTCACTATCTCTTCTAATTTGCTAGAGCATTCATTTTCTATGCATTGTGTGGGATTTCGAAGGAAAGATGGTGACGATGGTGGGCTTTGTTGCAGCGGGGATATTGATGGAGTAGTACCGACAACAGGCACGAGGTACTGGCTTCGACAGCTCGACCTTATTGTAGAGGTGCCATGGTATCCATGGAATCACTCCACGCAGGTATGCTATGATCCGTTACTGGTATTAAGAAACAACTATCTTAAGGAATTGTTCTGAGTTGAATTTAATTTATATTGTGCTTTTCATGAGAAAAGATTGTTCGAGGACTATCCATGGCAGAGTTGATGGAGGAAGCCCTAACACGAAAAATCATGGCAGGTAGGAGGATGGACGCAGGTGTACAAGGGCTTGACGTTTGTGACAGTTAGAGACGCAGGCCACATGGTTCCAGCAGACAAACCTTCCCAAGCTTTGCAGGTATTTAGAAGATTTCTTATTGGAAAACCGCTCCCTAGCTTTTAGTACAGAAAAATAAGCATGTTTAGATCCTCTAGAAATCTTCCTTCTGGCTCAAATTTTCTTCTGCTCCGAGATAACACAGATTGAGAATTTAAGGTGCACTTGTTTTAAGGCCATGACGTTTCAAATCAGGTGGATGATATTAAGTATTCACTGTCTGAATTTGTTGTGAACAACGTTATTTGGTCAATAAAATCAGATCCCCTAACTTTCACTCATGCATGGAACCTACTCTTGCGTATCAAAAGTTTCACACTGATTGGCTGGTTTTCTTGATGACATTACTTAGAAAATGTTGGAAAACTAGCTACCAGTTTTATTAATAGAAAAGTTGCGAATTTTGGGGAACGAGTTTTAGAATTATGTTTCTCTGAATCTAAAATCACCATGAGATGCCCTTGTCATTGACAGTGGAAGTACAACAATTCCATAGGAACGTTTGCCACCGTAATAATAGAGCTGGTGCTTAGCTGTATACAACTACGGTCAAAAGTTGTGAGATTTTTACAGAAGTTGCCACTGGTGCTTACCGTGATGACGCGTATGCTAACCCTGGCTTGCATTGAAATATAAAATTGAATGGATTTGCATGTAGAAGATTACACAGGTGGAAGAAAACCCATGCTTGTCAAACAAGGCACTCTCAAGACCAAATTAGGCCATTTCCTGAAATGCCCCCTAGGATATTCATCCCTTCGCTTCGCAAACGCATTGATTTCTGTTTCTCCGTTAAGGAAATTCTCACGTAAAACCCTAGACATCGTTAGTCCAACCATCAAATACTTGTTGTATTCAACCTAACGCAAGCATGTGAGAAAGTATTGTAGCAGTGCCGCGAATGGATCTACTCTTGAGTTAGATTGAACAGAAATCCGTATTCTGCAGTGTCAGCCGGACTTGTATCGGCTTCATCTGCGGCTTTAGAGTTGCCGAAGTACAACATATTTACTATTCGAATTTGTACTTGGACAAGTATTGGAGCAAACATTAAGTTTTTGTCTCAATCTCCTTCTCATATACTCATTTCACTCCAAACCACAGGCAACGGCTACTGCTGTTTCCTATCGCTTGTACCAATTCAACCTCTAGATTGAACTTTGTGACCCTGAGAGGAATGTAGTCAACATTCAAGTCTGTAGGCAGTTGCATGTAATAAAAGTCTTGGTCACATTCTGTGGTTAAGCAAGACACTGCTCGACTTCTTTTGATCACCACGATTGACCGTGAACTAACCATGAAATAAAGAGGTGAACAAAAAACTTGCGCTGACTTACAAGACGATCATGCATGTTCCCTTCTCTCATGAATTCTTACACTAGGATCTGCAGGGCACGTTCATGCAGTGATTTCAGTGGATTCACGGCATTCAGGAATATGCAGGTGGACGTGAGCCTGGCCATAGACCTTCTGCTGGCTGTGGATTGAAACAGCCCAAGAGTTCAGCACCATCGTTCTTGCTTCTTCTCCACATGATGCAATGTGAAACAGCAACAGTGAACTGTACCACCCACGACTGCAGCAGCTGCTCTGCTCACAATAGTGTCAGTGCCTGTCATCAAAACCACCTATGCAAAATTTTAGCGCTCGTATACGGCAAGTTACTTGTACCTTAGACACACCCAATTCATCAAAATGTCATTCTGCAATGACAATTTTCGACGACCTGAGGCTTTTAGTGCTCCGAACCTCACTCAAATTAGGGTTTGAATCTACTGTCACAAGCACGTTGCTTTCATGTTGTCAATTGTGCCTTTGAGTTCATTATGTATATGATTGTATGCTTTTTCGGATTGATCTCTACATCCAAGGGACAAGATGGGGTTCGTTCGCATAATATATTTTTGGGTTCCCTTGCCCATGTCACTAAATAAGAACATAAATCACTTCCTTCTGGAACAAAACAATTAAAATAATATTACTCACCACAACAAGAAACCATGCCAATAATAACCAATTCTTGCAGTGGAAACATCAATAGGAATTATCATGTTTGTGTATACAAATGTTAGAAGATTTTCAGTAAATTAATAATTAAGGAAGACTAGATTCATTAAAAAGAATACAAGATTCATCTATTGGTTTATTTGATTTTTCAAAAATAAAATAAACTAAAAAAATAAAAACAAAAAAACAAACAAACAAACAGGTCTGGGACATTATAGTCATTTAATAGATTACCAAAATGGGAAGATGGCAGATTAATTTTTTTTTATCTTCTGAAAGCACAACTCTTGTATAATAAAGTATTGAAAGTAATAATTGGTGCAATGATAAACAATAAAGTATGAAATTATACAATGGTAAACAATAAAGTATTGAAAGTAATAATTGGTGCAATGATAAACAATAAATTATGAAATTATACAATGGTAAACAATAAAGTATGAAATTATACAATGGTAAACAGTAAAGTATGAAATTATACAATGATAAACAATAAAGTATTGAAAGTAATAATTGGTGCAATGATAAAAAATAAATTATGAAATTATACAATGGTAAAAAATAAAGTATGAAATTATACAATGATAAACAAATAAGTATTGAAAGTAATGATTGGTGGCATCTAGAATCAAGAATGTTTGCCATGAAAATTCATATTGATGCTAAAGAATATAATTTCAGGAATTTAATATAAAATGTAAGTGTAGTGCAAATCCACTAGCTTTACTATTTCTTTCTATTTTAAAAAAACGACAAAGAACGATACAAGTAAATCAGATTTATGAAATCAAATAAATATAGGTTGATTATTATTATTATATTGGTGTGTGTTCCTAACACTTACATTAAAATGGTTACATGGTGGAAAAACCAAGCAAACAAGTCCAAAGGATGAGGAAGTTTCAGTTCTAACACATATAATACGGCAATTGAATCCAATACAGTTAAAGGGCAATTTCAGTGTAATTATTGTCACTTTGAAATGTCGATCAAGATGGACAGTCGCATCAATTTTGAAACGACAAATATAAATACTGTGAATGGCGAACAGCAGGAATACAGCAGCACACCTACGCACAGAACAGTCTGATAATGTATTAACTTTCAATGAAACACTCAAAAACAAGAGAACTGAGATACTGCCTTGTGACCTCTGATCCATAACTTTCTGCGCTGTTCTAGAAAGCTAGGTGCATACATCTGTCCAAAATGGAGTTGACATCCATGTATAGTAATAGACGAAGAGGGCATGTGTTCGATCTTCAACAAATACCTCGTTTTGAATCCACAAAAAGTGAGTAATACATCTCCAGCATATCATATAATGGGCTGAACACCATTCCAAAATCGCAACTGAAAATGAATTCGCATCATTAAACACCCAGAAACAAGTAAAATAATGCCGCATCGTTGGGGACACCGCCACTCGCAGCTCATAAAGGAAACAGTTTGAGGGGAGCCAATCTTTCATTATTTAACACCCACATGGGGAGGAGGCGAATTGGTTTGCATCCACCGACGCAAGAATTCTACAAGTATGCTCCAGAAATATGTACATGAGAAGAAAAAGGGAAGTGTAAAACTGATGTGTCAGTGAGTGTTTCCCTGCCACAGTAAGAGCCATCGCAGTTGCAGAGCTGAGGGTTGAGGCTGCTCGGTCTGGCACTGTGAGCGATCACTGCTGCTGCCACCCTTGTGTGCGTTTTTCCATCTGCCTCACTTGCTACCCCATACAGCACCACAGAGCGGCCGATCACATCTGCAATACTGAGCCTGTCGTTCGTCGATGTGCTCTGGACGTGGCCATTACAGTCCACCAGCAACGATCCTAAGTTGCCCTCATGGGTTTCGTGCTGCTGCTGCTGTTGCTGTTCCTGCACAGTCACAATTCGGTGAGAGACCATTCTTTAGTGTCAACACTGCATATGAATTAGGAGTTTCCAGCGAGGGCTTTCAAGTGCACCCTTCTCAAACCTTTGCCTAAGACTTGCCAGACGGTTTTGATTCACTCATCTGATGACTCGATATTTTAATGGAGTTTTGATAATTTGTGCTGTTATGATTGATGGAGACGGGATGTTGAAAGGAGGTAAAACTTACCGGGGTAGGGGAATTTGCGCTCGAGGGAAAGTTGGATGCGGGACCAGTGCTCAGAGCGCCTCTGGTTAGGTCACCGTACTCGTGAACAGCCCAGCCATGCGCACCAGGAGCTAAGCCGTCAATGACAGCTTCAATGCTGCATTCTTGCAGCCCGCTGTTTTCTTGGGCGAAACGAACCACACCATGCACGTCTGGACCCTTGAATTCCGCCACAGCAATCGTCATCGGCACGCCTGAGGTCGATTCATCCATTCAAATCACTTTTAGCATATCAATAAAATACCACACGGTTTCACGACTTGTAAGTCCATTGGATTAGAAAGATTAAGTTGCATTAGCGCGAAAGATTGCGACTCATTATAAATCGACAGGGAAAAGGATCTCACAAGCGGATGAATTCGGTTGGGTTTTGGCAAACATGGACTCGGAATACTTGCTGGGCTGTGTGGCGCTCAACGCCTCAAGGATCCTTTGATTTGGTCCAAGCTTTGAAACGCTGCCGGCATTTCCTGGTTTCATATCCAACGATATCATTAGCACGCCGTGCGTGACCATATGTAAAGACGGTAATGCAGACTCAGTACATTCAATACGTCAGGCATTAAATTAGAGGGATCACTTCGACATGGTGATAATGTGCGATTTTACCAGTAGCTACATTCTTGAGAGCTCCCATCACCGAAATACCTTGGACCGGCTTGTTAGTCTCTTTAGAGATTGCCCCCTATATGAGAACACCATCGCGCAATCAGAGTCATACTTCGGACACATTTCATCAACAACTCAAGAAACTCCTTCTCTTCTCAACAATGAAAATTATCAGCAAAATTCTCATAATGTATAGCATCGTTCCATGCCTGTCAAACGGAATCACATCTACGGAAGCAATATTCACAACCTGGTGCCGAAATTCGTCTACAATGGCCTTGGAACTCAACTTGTTAGCAGTCATAAGAGAAGTATAGAAGTTTGCAGTAGCGTAAAGGCATGGTTTAATGTCTTTGCGATTCAAGTTAACGCTAAAACCTTCGATCCTGATCGACAGTGTGAGCAGTTGGCTGACAATATTCGGCTTGACCGGTCAGGACTATATACAACATTGTAATACCGTCTAAAATAGTATGAGCCTCTTACAAATGTTGACACAAAGTGAAGGAAAGGGATGAACTCACGATGATGTCATCGTCGGTCGAGGTCTCAACGATGGTTGTACTACCAGATTTACTCCCATTGTGGTACAAGCTTATACGACACCTGTACTGGGACTTCTCTAAAATGTACTACCACTCGTCAGTTGGGTAACTTGATTGTGAGATTCGAGCTCCAATGCAGCGTCATTCGTTCCATGCCGAACTTCAAAGATTGATATGCTAGATTCTCTGTAACATGTAGTCCTCGGATTTCGATTTTTTGGGTTTTAGTCCAGTAGATGATTTTCGTTTTCGAATACGTGGGCTAGTGCCGAGTGTGGATTCCTTCGAAGATCGTACACAGTACTAGTGTAAACACTGCAGTACTGCAATGGGTATTCACCGCAGAGCGAAGATAGTTGTATTTCTTTTCTTTTTCACCAATTCTAGTAAAAGGAATTCTGGTCATGAACGGCCACGCTTCAGCCTGTGTTCATCGTCTTCTCTCCGACCTCGCCAACCACGCGAAGTCGAAGGCTCTGTGATGCTTTGGCGCTTGATTGGGACATTCCATCTTTGCCTGTTGATTGCGCTCAGTACCCAGCTGCTGTTGGTATCGCGGTGTGTGTCGCCAAGATGGCTGCAGTTCCATTGCCTTTGAGCACGGTGGACTTGAGGCCTCCTCCTTACGCTTTGGTGGGTGCAAACACTCCGCCGCTGCTCGTTGATTGCGCTATACCTGCTGCATTGGTCGTCAAGCTTTGTCGCGGTTGTTCAAAGATTTTGGTCGGGGACGTCCAGGAAGTTTGAGCTTGAAGACTAATCTCATGCATATCTGTGTGTGACAGGATGCGCTAGAGCCTCACATGAGCAAATCGACGTTGGATTATCATTGGGGGCAGCACCACCGCTCCTACGTCAACAACCTTAAGAAACAGATTGAAGGAACAGAACTAGCTTTATCTCTGGAAGATATTGTAAAGACAACTTACAACAACGGACATTATTGCTGAATTGATGCGAATGTGCGTAAATTGCAGGCGTGGAACCACGAGTTTTTCTGGTTGTCAAACCTGATGGCGAGTTAATGAGTCTTCTCATGCGTGACTTCGGATCCTATGATGATCCTTTATGCAAGATGTGCGAAACATGGGAGTTTCACACATCTTCTAATCCTCACTTGGTTCTGTTACTGATGATATTCCTTCGTAGTTGTGCTTAAGCTGCTGTTGTGTAAGAGTGGCCGGTCGCCGGCCTCCTCATCGCAAGAGGTGTGAAGATCGAAGGAACTCATGCATACCTAGTGTGAGTTTTCTAGTCTATTTTTTCCTTAGAAAGAAAATAAAATCTGGTATTGCAGTGTTTATCATATGAGAATATTCATAGCTTGAGTCCCACTTTTCTAAATGTTCAAAGCTTCCAACGAAGTTCAAATTTTTTGTCATCTCTTTTTATCATTTTCCTGGTGACTGATGTTCCAACCATCACTACGATTCAAAGTGAAATTGAACATTCAAAATTTGGATAAAAGAAAAGAAAGTTGTCCTTTCTAGTATGCGATCTGAAGGAGGTCTGTATACTTGGGGAGAACGTGAAATTCCACAGCTTATAAATTTTCTAATTGTTAAAAATTATAAAGTCATATAGTTGATTTTAGATTTAGAAAAATTAGTCCAAAAGTCTTAAGAAGAAAATATTAGGTAGAACACGTTTATTTTCCTACATGGCAAGAGCATTATTATTCCTCTCAAATTGCAAAAATCTTGTTTCAAATTAGGTTTTTATAAAATTTTACCAATCAACTTCAAAAATTGCTTAAAATAAATAGTAAAAAAAATAAATAGAATATAAGATTTTTATATTTTGCTTAATGGTTAGAATTAAGAAATAAATATACATATTTATACTTTAAAAAAAATGATTTGGACCATTTCATACGTTCTTATCACTTCACACTAACAACTATAACCAAGGCTTTAAAATTATATATATATATATATATATATATATATATATTATCTAGTAAAAAATCTTTGTAAGACTTTTCTACCATGTCTTATCAAAGTATCTACAACAATAATATTTATAAATATAAATATATATATATATATATATGTATATACAATCAATGATTTTAATAATAAATCTATTTTTATTTTTAATTTATAGTCTCCATTAATTTATTTTTTATAAATTATTTTTATGATTTTTTATTTAGCTTTTATATCAAATTTTAATATGAATTATGAAATATTATAATCATATTAGATGTTCATATATATATATATATATATATATATATATTGGAAAATGTTAAAATGACCTACCAATTTATTAAATCAATTCAACCTATTGTGAGAAATGAAAGAGGTTGAAATAAAAGTTATGAATAGAATGAGAGAAATGGGAGAATTGGGATAAAGAAGGCTAAGAAGGAAGAAAGCATAGGGTGAGAATAAGGAGGATTGGAATAAGAGTCATAATTGTAATGATGGTTTTTAGAGACGATCAATTTTTTTAATAATAGTTATAATAAGATAGATAGATTTAATAAATTAATAAGTAATTTTAACATTTTTCTCTCTATTATATAAAATAGCTTGGATATAAAATAAAGAAACAAAAATACATTTTTATTGGCTATTGACAAAGAAACTTTAAGAACTTGGAAAACACAAGAAAATGTTAGAACCATGAGGATTTCCAAGAACCAAGTGGTTAGAATTCTTAAATTTTTTTTTAATAACTATTTTTTCGCCAAAAAATTATATGTTGTATAAGACACATTATGTCTTTCTCTTGGATGTTCATTTGTGTTGTATTTTTGCCCAACCCCTATTCTCTTCCTCATTATTGTTGGTTGCATTGTATGTTATCATCATTCTTCCTCCTCTTTATTCACACCCAAATTGTGTTTTGCCTTTTTGATCAATGTATTTTTATAGAAAAGCTTTTTTGTTGTACTTGCCAATGTTGCAACTACTACATTCACAGGTTGTGACTACTATGAGCTGAGAAATCTTCTTAGCCATAATATAGTAGGTTGTAACTACTATCCTAAGCAATTTCTATGGTACAATCACTAATGATTTTTCTATATATAACAATATTATGTAATGTACCACAAATCTATTATAAATATAGCCTCAATATATCAATATTCTATATTCTATTAATATAAAAATCTTCTATCATAGATTATAGCTTAAAAATATCATCAATTGTTCCACGTATATATATATATATATATATATATATATATATATTAATACTAGAAGATCTTTGTGCATCCTAAACTTAATTGATCAATTGTATTACAAGCTTTGAAAAATTTGGATTTAGAAATGATTCTTTTTTACCTCAATTATATAATTCCATGCACCAAAGAGATGAAAAATATATGGAAATTAATTGGAACTTAGGAAAAATGCACAAAAATCTAGAAGAATAGATAAGAACCTATGGAAACTTGAAGTACTCACAAAAATCACAGAAAATAATGAAAACTTAGAAATACAAAGAAAACATATAAGAATCCATGAAAACTCGAGAAATATACAAGAATCTAGAAAAACTTAAGAAATGCATAGAAATTGACATAAACTCATAGAAACTTGGAGACACATAGGAATATACAAAAAGAGGGAAATACTTTTTTGTACTCAACAACACATGTTTTTTTCTATATATCTATTTTGTGATGCACTTCTTTGAATATGATCTATAATGTATTCATTATATTTTATAATTAATGATGACAAAAATACTACTATAAATATAGTTTGTCTCAAAGTTCTTTTAACTTAGTTATTCAAGTAATTATAGTAAACAAAAACTATTTTTTTCTAATTGCACTAAAAAAAACATAAATGGTTCTATTGTTATGTATTAATTCTCTTTTTTTTATATAATTGTTTTAGTCAATATTTTTTAAGAAGTGATCAATTTTTAACTTAGCAACCACAAATAAAACTCTTTAGTATTTTCTCAGCTAATAATATGGATTTTTACTATAATATGTAGAATAACAATAGAAAGTATCATGGACATATGCATGTAAGCCAATAATTACATGTATAAATAGGTAGAAGTAAGTAAAAATAAGAAAAAGTAAGTTAATTCTATAATATTTGATATAGAAGCTTCTTAGAGGCTTGATAGACGCTGCTTTGACTTTATAAGTGTCTTTAATTGGCTTTTTGGGAATATAAACATGGTCAATAAGTTGGCCATGTGCCACACATGTTGTTAGCTTGAAGACCAAGCTAACTATGTGGCCTACACATAGAAAAACTTGCCTTGTAAGTGAAGGCATGTGTCATACAAAGTCAACACATATTGGAGGTCTTATAGAACATCGCCATGTAGCCCCTAGTTAGATAGTATATATAGAGATAAGAGTGAAGTCTTCTTCACTCTTATCAACTCCTTTGTTGTTTCCAGTCTAGTTTCAAGGGTCTCTAGTTTTTTTGGCTTTTTGGCAATAGCCATTCCAGTTTCTTTCTCAATATATATATCAAGTTATTTCTATTTTTTCATCTTTCTTTGAGAAAAGTCTCACTCGTTTATTTTTCTTTATTGTGTTCTTGTCCTTGACAGATTGACAAGAGTACACTTACAATATTAGAGCTTTGTCTAATCTTGATTAAGAGTGGATTACTTCTTTTTCTTCATAAGACATAAGCATATTAGAAGTTGTGGATTACCCTCTTCTAAACTAATATTGTCTTTAATATTTTCTTTGTTCTCAAGTCCTCCCTTCTATTTGTCTTGAGTGATATTAAACATCTTCTCTTTTCTAAGTGTTATCATGTTAAAACTTGCTAAAATGAAGAGTGCAATGGCACAAATACAAGAGCAATTGAGGGAGTTAATGCTTGCGATGCATCAACTCAATTTACCACCACAAAGAACAACAAGATTGGCAAGAAGTGAAGATATAGAAATGATTGGAGCTGCTTCAATATGTGCACCAAATCATGTCCCTTCTCCTATGGTG